GGGAGGCGGAGATGGATGCGGGATGCGGGGATGGATCCCGGGAACGCGCGGGAATGGATGCCGGAGGCGGGGATGGATGGCAGGGCGCGGGAGGGCCCCGAGAGTGGCTGGCGGGCTGGAGGGGCCGGGGGTGCCGGGGTTCCCGGAGCAGCCCCGGACCCGCCGCCCCGGAGAGGCCTCGGAGAGGCCGCGGCCGCCGCTCGGAGCCGCAGAACCGGCGGGGCGGAGCCGGGAGGGGCCGGGGCGGGGCCGCACGGGGAGGGGCCGCCGGCGGGAGCGCGGGCACACGGAGGGACCCAGGGATGGGCACGGACCCCGGGGTGGACACAGACAGAAGGACAGAACCATGGATGGACTCGGGGATGCAGGGACGGACCCATGGATGTACAGACGGATGGACCCACGAACACATGGATGGACACACGGACACACAGACAGAGCCAGGGACGCAGGGATGGACACATAGTGGAACCGAGGGACATATTCAGGGACACAGAGACAGACCCATGGACACAGGAACGGACACACGGATGGACCCAGGGACACGCTGCCCCTTCAGATGCCCCCAGTCCATGGGACCCCTCGTCGTGTCCCCCAGTTCTCCCCCAGCCCTCCTTTCCCGTTCCTCCAGCCCGTCCCTGTCAGCCCCCAGGCCCTTCCCGTGAACACGTGGAAACACCCACGGACACGCGGGCACACGGACACATGGATACACTGACAGATGCATGGACACACAGACGGACACATGCACACGCTGGGGACACAGGGATGCACTGGCAACGCTCTGGAAACACATTCTGGGACATTAGGGACGCTGGGCCAGCGAGACTGAAGACACTGAGATGTGCTGGGGACACGCTGGGGACGCTGGAAGAGAGTGGACGTACACTGAGGACACTGAGAGGTCCCTGGAGGGTACTGGGGGACACCGGGGGATACTGTGACGCACTGGGACGGCATTGGGGGTCACTTGGACCCACTGGGGGTGTCAGTGGGGCTCCCAAGTCCCGCCCCTCAGACCCCGCCCCCGGCACAGGCCGCGCGAGACCGCGGGGGTGTGTCCAAGAGAAGGGCGTGGCCTAATGATTGACTGTTGCACGGACGGGGCGTGGTCATAGCGAGAGGCGTGTCAAGCATCGAGACGGCGAGGCCCTGCCCCCACAGCGCGCGCGCCCGCGCAAGAATCCACATTGGCCGTCGCTCACGGTAGGCGTGGCCTGGAGGCCCCCCCTCCCCCCGCGCCGCTCCGCTCTCCCATTGGTCCATTGGCAGCGGCGCCGTGACGTAAGACGCAGCGTGCGTGTCGTGCGCGCTGACGTTGCGCGGCGGCGGTGGCGGCGGCGGCAGCAGTGGTGGCGGTGGCGGCGGCGGCGGTGGTGGCGGCGGTGGTGAGTGAGGGACGACAGCGGGATCCCTTGGGCCCGCGCGCATCACCCCCGGCACCTCCAGGCTGGGTCCGCCCGCGCTTCCCGGCACCTCCCGCCGCCTCCTTGGGCTTTCCTCAGCCCGGCCCCAGCGCCGAGAGCCGGCCCGGCCCCGCCGGGCCTGCGTCCCCTTCCTCCCCGCCCCGCGCTGAGGGGAGAACGAAGCGGGGCGGGGGCGAGGGGAAGAGCGTCTTGAGGGACTGAGGGGGGGGAGGGGGAGGCCTGTCCTTGTGCCCACGGGGGATCCCCGTAATTGAGGGGGATTCCTGTGTTTAAGGGGGGGGGGTGTCTCTGTATTTGAGGGGGGAGTCCTTATATTCGGAGGGAAGGGTCCCTGCTCCGTCTTGGGGGTTGTTCCTCGCCCCTTGTGGGGGTCCTTGTCACCATGAAGGGTGGTTGTGCATTTTGAGGGTGGCGTCTTGAGGATGGTCCCTGATCCCTTTCAGGGCTCACTTGTCCTGGTGGAAGGGGGTGTCCCTGTTCCTCAGGGAGGGTCCTTGTTTCTCACAAGGGTGAGGCCCTTTTGGGAGCCCTTTCCCTTCTGAGAGTCTCTGATTCCTTTTACGAGTCCGTGTCCCCGAAAGGGTGTCCCTTTCACCACGGGGGGGGGGGAGGGGAGGGGTCTCTGTCCCCCGTGGTTCCCCTATCACTGAGGCAGGGTCTCCCTATTTGAGGATTCTCGTGGGAGGTGCCATCTGCTAATCTCCTTTCCCCTCTCTCTGCAGGACCCTCAGGACCCTCCCCTGCTTTCCCAGCCCGGGGGGGCCTCTCGGCATCCCCCGCCCTCACCCCCCATGCACTGCCCAGCCCGGGGGGGCCCCCCCGCCACGTGAGGGGGGGGCAGGGCCGCTTTCCCTTTCCCCCCCTCCCCAAACCATCACCCCCATTGTTATTATCCCCGTTATTATCCCCAATCCCAGCCATGATGTTCCGGGAYCAGGTGGGGATCGTGGCCGGTTGGTTCCGCGGTTGGAGCGAGTGCGAGCAGACGGTGGCACTGCTGGCGCTGCTCAAACGCGTCACCCGCACCCAGGCGCGCTTCCTGCAGCTCTGCCTCGAGCACTCGCTGGCCGACTGTCCTGACATCCACCTGCTCGAGGCCGAGGCCAACAGCGCCGGTGAGGGGATGGGGGGTGTCTGGGGGGTGTTACGATTGCGTCTGATCATCCTTGTGGGTTTTTGGGGGGTTGTCTGGGGGCTTTTGGGAGGGTAGAGGGGGCTGCAAGGGGTCCTTGGGAGTCCTTGTGTCTTCCCTGTGGTGTCATGTGGGGTCCCAGGGGTCCCTGACTCCCATCCCTGTGTGTCCCCTGTCCATGTCCCAGCTGCCATCAGTCAGTGATCTCATGAACCAGCTGAGGCTGTGGTGGCCCTGGTGACTGCACATGTTCTATGTCACTTGTCCCAGCTAGTACCTCCCCAGTGCCCGCAGGAGCCAGCTGAAGCCATGGTGGCCGCTCCTGCTCGTGTGTGTGATCTTGTCCTTCCCTCTATCCCCCGCTGCTCATGTGTGTGACTCCATCCATCCCTCTGTCCCTCTCCGCTCATGTGTGTGACCACAGCCATCCCTCTGTCCCCAGCTGCCATCTCGCAGTGGCCCCAGGAGCCCGCTGAGGCCGCGGTGGCCCTGCTGCTGGCCCACCTGCCGCTGCTGCAGCCAGGGAACGCAGCAGCCAAGGCCGAGTACATGAAGAGGCTGCAGAAAGTTTTGGCCGACGCCATCGAGAGCAATCGCTGCGTGGAGGAATCGCGACAGCTGCTGTCCTACGCCCTGATCCACCCGGCCACCACGGCCGATGACCGCAGCGCGCTGGCCCTGTGGCTCGGCCACCTGGAGGAGCGCCTGGCCCCGCCCGGCCCCACCTCAGCTGCAGCTCCCCAGCGCCGGCCCCCGGCCCATGAGTGGCCTCCCGAGCCCCCGGAGCCTGGGGGTGGCAGTGGGGGGACCACCACGGCAGGAGGTGGGGCTTGGGCAGAGCAGCACCCCCCAGGCACAGCCACGGCACCCCGGGAAAATGGACACCCCCCATTCCAGCCTCCTGGAGGTACTGGGAGAGCGGGGGGAAATGGGGAGAATGGGGGGAAAATGGGGAGAACTGGGGGAATGGGGGTTAAAGGAGGGAAATGGGGAGTAAAAGCAGGGGGAAATGTGGGGAGAAAAAGGGAGAATGGGGAAAAAGGGGAAGGAAATAGGGAAAAATAGAGGAGAAATTGAGGGAAGAGGGTGGGGGAACAGGAGGAGAAAGGGGAAGAATGGGGAGAAAAAGGGGGGGAAGTAGCTGGGAAGGGGGTACAGGGAGAGGCTGGCAAGGATCAGATGAGGGGGAAGGGGCTGGGGAGAAATGGGAGGGGTCAGAGGGACCCAGGAGCTCAAGGAGGAGGTTTGAGAAAAGTGTTTTGGGGGGTCTTGGGAGACATGGAGAGGGAGTTGGGGGCAGGTTCCACTAATTGGGAAGAGACCTGGGGGTGTCCCACCAACTGGGGAGGAGTTTGGGGCATTGGGAAAGGTCCTATTGCCTGGGAAGGAGTCTCTGGTGCCCCCCCTGACCCTCTCCCCCCTGTCCTTCCCCCAGCCCTGCCGTGCCAGCTGCACCCCAGCCCCTTGAAGCGTTCACTGGCGCTGGTGCCTGGCAGCCCCCAGCCCGGCCCAGGGGGTGACTGGGCAGGGTCCGGGGGGCCCGAGGACCCTCCCACAGCCCCCCGGGGCCCCGCGCCGCCATTCGGGGACCACGCACCGCTGTCCCCACAGAGCAGCGTGGCATCATCGGGCAGTGAGCACACCGAGGAGCCCGGCGGGCGCAACTCCTTCCAAGAGGATGGCAGCGGCATGAAGGGTAGGCGGAGGGCTCCAGGGAATCCTGGGGGTTTTTTGAGGGATGTTGTCACCTCATGACTGTCCCGTGTTTCCTCGCAGATGTCCCCTCGTGGCTGAAGAGCCTGCGACTGCACAAATATGCGGCGCTGTTTGCGCAAATGAGCTACGAGGAAATGATGACACTGACTGAGCACCACTTGGAGTCACAGGTGAGCCCTGCCCATGCTGGGGATTGGCACTGGGAGGGAGTGGGGGGCACTGGGAGGGTACTAGGAGGGGACACTTCGGTCCCCAGGGGTACAGGAGTAACTGGAGTGGCCTGTGGGCCCTGGAGGAGGGGACTGGGGGGCACTGGGCTGGTGTTAGGTGGTCCCTCGTATCCCCAGGACTTTTGGAGGGAGTCCAGCATTCCCAGGGGTTGGAAGGGGACAAGTTCTCGGTGTCCTCAGTCTTCGTGGAAGGTGTCCCCAATGTCCCCTCAAGGGGCATGACATCCCCCAGAGATTTGTGACACCCCTTTCCCCTCTCAGAACGTCACCAAGGGTGCACGGCACAAGATCGCCCTGAGCATCCAAAAGCTGCGGGAGCGGCAGAGCGTCCTCAGGGCACTGGAGAAGGTCACTGGGGGCACTGGGAGGCAACTGGGGGGTACTGGGAGGGCACTGGGCTGGTGTGGGGGGAGTCCCCAGTATCCCAAGGGCTTCTGGAGGAGGTCCCTGATGTCCCCAGTCCTCCCCAATGTCCCCAGGGATGGTTTCGGGGGATGCCCAATGTCCCTGGGGGTGGGGGAGTTAGTTTGCAGTGTCCCCAATCTTCCTAGGGATGTCCCAGTTTCCCCCAAACCCGTGTCCCTGATGTCCTCTCCTGTGTTCCCCTGCAGGACATCCTGGAGGGGGGCAACCTATGGACAGCACTGCAGGAGCTGCAGCAGATCCTGGTGACCCCCATGATGCCTTCACGCCCCCCCCGGCCCCTGTCCCCGACGCCGAGGCCCCTGCGGCCCCTGTCCCTGATGGGGACATCCCAGGGCAGTTCACGCGTG